ATCAGCGCGAGCTAAAAGAGCTTGTGTGCCGTGTTTCTGTACCGTTAGATTTTCTCTCCGCGAGTCTGCACGCTCAAGACGGTCGTCACACTTTTTTTTTCTCTCTCCCCTTTTTTCTTTCTTTCTTTTTTTTTTTTTAATCGTCATCCATCACCATGACCACAACATGAACCATCTTCAGGAAATCAACGATCAAAAACCGTTTTTGAATTGACTCACTTTTATATATTTCAACTCTTTTATGTATGTATATATGTATTTTATTCTTCTCTCTCAATATAACCAAAAGTCCTGTCAATAAATATAAATATATATATAAAGAAGACGATAAGCGAATAAAAATTTCCATCAACGATATGAATAAATTACAATTTAAAATTTTTTACCAAAAAAACAGAATTTGTTAACGTTTAGAATTAAAAAAAAATATTTTTTTTTCCGATGATAATAATAATTGTTTACAAGGATTTGAATTCTTAATTGAAAAATAAAATGCATTGGTATGATGCAAAGCCTTTTCTGGGATTAAAGTAAGCTTATATACATTTGACGAATCGAATTGTCATTTCCGTGGAAAAGTTTCTTTTTTTTCGAAGCGATTATTATCTTTATTTGCGACTTTATATTTTGATAATTTTCAAATTATAAAGAACTTGCAACAAATTCACAAAAATTACTTTATTATTGATTCTTAAAAAGTATTGTTGGAAAATACAATATAATCTTATTGTGGATTATAAAAGTATGTTTAATTTATATCATTTTAGTTAAATGTTTTCTTAAACTAATTTTTTTTTTTCATATTAATTAGAATATTTTCTCAAGCAAGAAATAATTTTGCTATATTTGAGATATAGGAATATAATACACTTTTGTGTTGGTAATAGTAAGACATCAACTTTCTAGTACTTAAACTTGTAATAACTTAGCATTAAAAGTGATGCAGTCTTACCTCACTCCTCATTTTCTAAAAAACTTTCCTTGTCATTCTGCACTTCTATACACTAATTGAATTTTATCTTTTATAAATTTTTTTTTTTCGAAGTATAAAAATAAATTATCAGAAATAAATTAATTAAAGAAGGAATGTTTCAATTTATGAATAAATATTTTCATTCACATTGGAATTAATTTTTCTTTGAAATAAAAATTAGTTAACGGATTGAATTTTTTTTTTTTTCGTTTCTTGAAATTCAAATATAAAGATTGAAAAGTTGTTTGAATATTTCTGCATATAGAGATTATAATCAACTATATTCCAGTGAAGAACAGCTGGACGAATAACGTCAAGCTGAATAGATCTTGTAACACTTGATACATAATTTCATCTTATAAGATAAATTCGAGCCAAAAGTCACTTTACAGTTAACTCTATTTGAATTATCATTTTATAGACGGTAAATCTAATGTTTTGAAAAAAAACGTCCACCATATAAAAATAGGTTTAACAAAAATTTATCTACTATCTTTGAAATTAATTTTCCCATTAAATATTAAATTTAAATATTGGGATGGAAAATTGCAAAGAACTTCGATAACATTCTAAATGATTGAAATTTTAATAATCATTTGAAAAAATATGAGAACGATGACATGAAGTCGATTCAAATAGATTGGAACAATGGGGAATTTTTTTTTTTTAATGGGAACGGAAAGTAGGATAATGTAGGGAAGTAGAGGCGTTTCCGTTTTTGGAATTCAAACGGGCAGCTGCCTTTCGTCAATTCATGGCCTTGATCCGTCCGATTTCCATCTCTAAGATCGTTTATATATATATATATACGAGTGTACCGTTCGAATCTCCCGTTAGAATTCAAGAGGCAAACCGATCCGAGAGAGAGAAGATCCACAAAGAGTATGACGATGAGTGTGTACAGTGTGTACAGTCACTTATACGGGCGGAGCCTGTTTTCAAACGGTCCCGGAGAAAGTGCTAGGCTATTCATTTACTGACCTACATTACCCTTATATATTTCCTCTCTGGCAACCCCCATATCAACGTCTATTTATCATCCTATAAAATCCCAACTATATAGAGACACGCGTCATTCTCGATTGACCCACAAAAAGTCAATGGACTTTTTATTCTATATAGTTATGTCATCATCACAGACAGACAACTATACACAAGGTGTCAATCGACCTTCGAAACACTTGTCACTGACGGTCAAAGACCCTCGAAAAATTTTAATTGCAAATAGAAAAAAGAAATATATATATATGTGTGAACAAGGTATATTAATTCAAAAATGATTCGCTTCTTTAAATACTTAATTCAGTTAATCTTACAAAATTTTTTATTACATTGACATTTATCCAAATTTATATCTAACAGAATTTTGTTTATTATAATGTGTAGGGACACTGGTGTTATTCCAAGCAAAGAAAAAGAATACAATTATCAAATGTCCAACTATTATTGATCCAAAGTAAAAAAGAACCCAAAGTAACATTGATCCAAACTATCATAGAGATCCAAAATAACCTTGATCCAAATTATCAAGGATACAAACTATCATTGATCCTAAATATTATTAATCCAAATTATCATTGATCCAAACTATCATTGATCCAAACTATCACTGACCCAAACTATCAAGAGTCCAAAATATTGTTGATCCAAACTATCAGAGATCCAAAATAGTATTGAGCAAAACTATCATGGATCCAAATTATTATCGATCCAAACTATCAAAAATCCAAAATATTATCGATCCAAACTATTAATGATTCATAACTATCATTGATCCAAATTATCATTAATCCTAACTATTATTGATCCTAACTATCATTGATCCTAACTATTATTGATCCTAACTATTATTGATCCTAACTATCATTGATCCAAATTATCATTGATCCAAACTATCATTGATCCAAACTATTATTGATCCTAACTATTATTGATCCTAACTATTATTGATCCTAACTATCATTGATCCTAACTATCATCGATCCAAATTATAATTAATCTTAACTATTATTGATTCTAACTATCATTGATCCTAACTATCATTGATCCAAATTATCATTGATCCAAACTATCATTGATCCAAACTAATATTGATCCTAACTATCATTGATCGAAATTATTATTGATCCAAATTATTATTGATCCTAACTATTATTGATCCTAACTATCATTGATCCTAACTATCATCGATCCAAATTATCATTAATCTTAACTATTATTGATCCTAACTATCATTGATCCTAACTATCATTGATCCAAATTATCATTGATCCAAACTATCATTGATCCAAACTATTATTGATCCTAACTATCATTGATCCAAATTATTATTGATCCAAATTATTATTAATCCTAACTATTATTGATCCTAACTATCATTAATCCAAACTATTATTGATCCAAAACTATCAAAGATCCAAATTATTATGAATCCAAACTATCATTGACCCAAATTATCAGAGATCCACAATAGTATTGAGCCAAATTATCATGGATCCAAATTATCATTAATCCTAACTATTATTGATCCTAACTATCATTGATCCTAACTATTATTGATCCTAACTATCATTGATCCAAATTATCATTGATCCAAACTATCATTGATCCAAACTATCATTGATCCAAACTATTATTGATCCTAACTATTATTGATCCTAACTATCATTGATCCTAACTATCATTGATCCTAACTATCATCGATCCAAATTATCATTAATCTTAACTATTATTGATCCTAACTATCATTGATCCTAACTATCATTGATCCAAATTATCATTGATCCAAACTATCATTGATCCAAACTATTATTGATCCTAACTATCATTGATCCAAATTATTATTGATCCAAATTATCATTAATCCTAACTATTATTGATCCTAACTATCATTAATCCAAACTATCATTGATCCTAACTATCATTGATCCAAAACTATCAAAGATCCAAATTATTATGAATCCAAACTATCATTGACCCAAATTATCAGAGATCCACAATAGTATTGAGCCAAATTATCATGGATCCAAATTATTATGGATCAATGTTCCAAATTATCGATGATCAAATCTAATTGTAAATATAAACTAATAAAGATTCAAATGATCATAGATCCAAAGTTTTAATGATCTAAAATATTATCGATCCTGCTTGTCAGAGATCGAAAATACCATTGATCGAAACTATCGAGTGTTTGAAATTTTAAAAAATTCAAATTAATAACTGTTTTAGTAAGCTAAACAACTGTTTTAGTATATAACATTTATAAAGAATGTTGTGTTGATATTTTTGACGTTGTGGCGCCTCGAAAATCATTCATCTCTGTCTCTAAAATATTTCTTCTAACGAATCGTGTATTTCAGAATTAGAATGTGTCCCTCTCGTTCAAAGACCCGCTTTTTTCGTCACGTGATTTTTATATTAAGTATAACCATTTTTTTATACTTTCGGAAAAAGAAATAAAAAAATATTTACAAAACTATATACATATATCAAATGTGTTATTTTTAATTTGAAAAAAAAAATTTATGACAAAATTAAAAGATAGTTAATATATTAATTTAAAAAATTAAAATAATAAATAGGTTAATTCTAATTAAATGACTTACATTTAAAAATGGTTATTAATTTTCAATCAATGATCTAAAGGATCTAATATCATTGTAATAAAAAAAAAATAGAGACACTTATTATAAATTATCTAATTGGAATAAAATTATACTATTCATAAATACTTTTAATTGTTATAGAATTTTAATAATGCCGTTCCTTCATATTGTAAAATGGAAATACAATAATAGCTTGTGTCTTATTTTTTTTTGTCCAACAATGACATACATTTATATTTATGTATTACGGAAATATAAAGAATCAAATAAAAATTTATATATTGTTAACTGTTTAATAATTTTTCTTTCATTATCGCATAATTGTTATTATATATAATTTTTGTAACAAAAGAATTATTTTTAAGTGTATTATGTGGTTTACAGATGAGTTTTAGGTATAAAGAAATCTCTCTCTCTCTCGAAAAAAAATGATACAAATCGTGATTAAAACAATATAAAAGAGAAGTGTTTTTTGGCATTGAAATGAGAAATATACACGAATATGATGACACTTCACGTATATAAAACCGATATCGTACATCCGTTATCTTAGAAATAATGAGAAACCTTGGCATTATTTTCTTGCTCACACGAGGTTACTTAACCGAGTTATGAAACATATAAGTGTATTGTCTACAACCAGATAAATTACAGATGTAAAAATCTAATTCTAATTTTTCATATCTCTTTGTACCAAAAATATTCTAAAATTTTCTACATTAAGGGGGGAACACCAGTTGTAACTTTCGAAAAATCGAATTTTTTTTTTGTGCATTTTCTTAAAGTATACATATTTAGAAATGTGTCTGTAAATTTCAAAGTTGATCCGGTGAAAAATAAATGAGATATACAGAACACTGCAGCGGCGCGTCCCGTGGCTTTATACAAGGTGGCCAGCCATACCTGACCCTAACGACACATGGCCTTTTCCTATGATTTAGAAACGGCAACCACTGCGGAAGAGTTATTATATGGTCCAGGAATCGATGACTCTTTGTAACTTGGAAACAAAATTTCTCCTGAACAAAAAAAAGTAAGTTGAAACTTTGAATGCGTTTTTCTCAAAATGACATTTTCCAAGTCGGTGACCACGATTACTCGAATACCATTAAACCGATTTATTTAAAATTTAGTGTGCTTCATTTACACATATAAGTCTAGTTCGTGATCGAAGGATTTTTTTTTTTATGCAAAACTTTTTTTTATATAGCTGAAAATCGACCGTATTTTTTTAACGAAAATCATACTTTTGACTTTGACAGGTCGCCAATTTGTCAAATTTTTTTTTTTTTTTAAATCCTTCGATCACGAACTAGATAATCTTATAATAAATGTAAATCAATTTCATTTTTGTATTTCAGACGAAGTATACTTGCAGAATGCTGGTCACCGCAATTCGCCTTTTTTCTTAAGGCGCCACTTCAATGGCTCATATCTCCAAAAGTTTTTGTTAAAAAAATTTTTTTTTTCTTTTAAATTACAGCTTTTTACATGTACTTTTAACTAATAAATAGTATTCTTTAAAAAGATTCATTGTTCTTTTGGAAAATATTCTTGTATAAAGCATTATTTTTTGAGTTACAACTGGTGTTCCCCCCTTAAAGAGATATAAATATCAAAATTTTCCATTCACATAAGAATTTCCGGGTATAATGTGGATATATAAAAAAAAAGGCCTCTCTCGAAGGCCGGGAGAGAAATGAAAGAAATGATTGCATAAACTCTTGGAACGTACCGTGAAATTGTTTCGTGCAATGTATGTATATATACGATTGAGTGGCATTTCTTTCTGACTTAGGACATTGAACCACGATGTTATTCGAGGTCGATTGGAAGAGAGTCGTTTGTAAAGTACTAGAAGTTCCCGATACTGACACTTTCTCTTTAGGTGAATGTATAAGTCACCCAACGATCCTCTCTACTCCTTCCATTTCGGTTTCTTTATAATAAATATATATATATAAACGTCTCTAAACGTAATTCGCTTTTCGCAAAAAAAAAATTATAAACTTAAATAAATAATTTCTCTAAATTCATATTAACCTTAGTAATAAAACATCTATTAAAATTAGATATTGACTGTGCGAACAAAGCTATAATTAATTTACATAAAAAAAAAATATTACAAACTTTTATGAACTATTAAATTCTAATTTTATTTTAAAGAAAAGAAAAATTCATTCGAATTAATGTAAAAATTCAAACTCTATGAAAATTAAAACAATAATTAAACAAAAGATAGAATCGTAAATAAATTTTTTTTTTTGGTAAGAAAGTTGGTATATTTTTTTTTAAAGCAAAATTATTTATAAATTTTTTTTTTAATTAATGGAAATTACTGTATAGGTATTTGTAAGATACAATTATTACACTGTTGAAAACATAGTACCTGTGTTGAGTGAAAGTACCCACTGCAATCTTCTATATACAAGTCTACTGTTACTTTTTTTTTTTTTTTTTTTTTTTTGCTCTATACCCACATACTTTCGCCGTAATTTTTTTTTCTTATCTTTCCCATAAGTTTTCTATGTAACAAAACTGCACCTAGCAAAGTAAAGAGAAAAACAGGATGAGACGCCTCTGTTCCACTTTTGTATAATGCTCCGTAATCACAAAGTTATTACTGCATATATATATATTTATAAGGAATAGCATTAATTAGAATTTTATTTGTTTTACTTTCTTCGTTTATTTTCTAATAAGCGTTAATTATTTTCTTTGCCTAGTATTTTTATAATTTACCATTTTTGTAAAATAAATATTTAAATAAATGAAATTAATCGTTAAAATCGAAATTAAAGAAGAAATATATTTTTTCTTAAATTATTTTTCAATTCTATAAATAAATTATTCTGATTCCCTCTTTCTGTTACATCATAAAATAATAAAAAAAAAATCAATCGACTCATAATTATAAACGTTCTCTCTAATAATATATTTCCGGTTTTTAGATTATAAATATTATACGAATCTAATAATTTCGAGTCACGTGAAATTAGCACACATTTGTTAAAATGAGAGAAGTGACTGACCTATTATATATGTGTGAATAGAATGGGTCCTCGAAAAAAAAAGAATCGAGGTTAGAGATTCTAAATACAGTTACTAAATGGTTACCTAATGTTTATTTTCAGGTAAATTGTCCGCTATTAGAACACGTGCTTTCTATGACCGAAACTTAGGTCACGATGAGGTATCACACATACACACACACGTTCTAAATTTTAGTTTACAGTTATATACCATTTTAAAATTGCTTCTCATCGCTCTTGGAATTCCGCGCCTAACAAGGTCTAACTTTATATTTCAAATTATATATAAATCTTTAATATTCACTGTAGCTAATTTAAATATATTGTTATTAATGGATCAAATTAATTATATGGAAAATTTCATCTATTTTCAATCAAACTATTTTCATGAATAATAATTGATTTAAACTTGAAATAATTTAAAATATCATCGCTAAAAACAATTATTGATCCAAACTATCACAGATTTAAATTTTCAAAAATCCAAAATTTAATCCATCCAAATTATTACTGATCTAAACTATCGTTGATCCTAATTGTCATTGTTCCAAACTACAATTGATCCAAACTATACAAAATATTAACGATCCATGGGATTAGTGATCAAAACTATCATTGATCCTGACTATCATTGATCCTAACTACAATTGATCCAAACTACAATTGATCCTAACTATCATTGATCCAAACTATCAAGGTTCCAAAATATTATTGATCCTAACTATCATTGATCCAAATTATCATTGATCCTAACTATAATCAATCCAAACTATCATTGATCCAAATTATCATTGATCCAAACTATCATTGATCCAAATTATCATTGATCCTAACTATAATCAATCCAAACTATCATTGATCCAAATTATCATTGATCCTAACTATAATCAATCCAAACTATCATTGATCCAAATTATCATTTATCCAAACTATCATTGATCCAAATTATCATTGATCCAAACTATCATTGATCTAAATTATCATTTATCCAAACTATCATTGATCCTAACTACAATTGATCCAAACTACAATTGATCCTAACTATCATTGATCCAAACTATCAAGGATCCAAAATATTATTGATCCAAACTATCATTAATCCTGACTATCACACAGCAAATTAAAAGGCATTAAAATAAGCTGCAACGCTTATTATTTTAATCCAATTTTACTTATTTTAATCCATTTTGGTATTAAGGATCAAAATTTTTTTTTTCAAAATTTTTTCATAGTAAGAAAATAATTTGAATAAATTTTTAATTTTAAAATTGCAATAGAAAGAAGAAGAAAAGTATGTTTGGCAAATAAATTAAACATTTCATTTTTCATCAAATTGAATTTTAGATGCGAGATGAAATTTAAGTGATAGAAATTCATCATAGAATAAGTTTGAAGAAAATCTTTAAAATAATAAAATAATATAATAAAGGTGTCAGGCGGATCGAAGATAAGCGAACCGACTCGCGCTTTGCTACGTAACACTTAAAGTAAAGAGGATAATAATTCTTTACCACTCTAAATACGGGCCACGATTAGAAAGGTCCGCTTTGCGGATAATATTGTGTGTAGCTGGCTGCCGCTGTGTATAAAAGAGTTATACTATTTCACGGTGGTCTAAGTCTAGTTAAAGTAAAGTAGGTCTCTGCCTACCATCGGAGCACTTGACCCCGATATTCAGTGCCGCCTCTCTTTCACTTCGACACGACTTATAACCATTTTTTACGTAACGCCCTAACGATTCATAATAATTCGCGACACTCGAGAGAAATCCAGAAACGTCTCCATAGTTACTAAATTCGCTCCACGATTCTCATAGCTATATATATATTTCCCATGAAAACGAGGATACAAACAATTTTCTAATACTATATAGGTCTTTATAATTTTTCAATTGTTTCTTTATATTAAGAACATTGCATTGATAATTTAAAATAAAAAATTTCACTATCAAGGATCAAAAATATTATTGATCCAAATTATCAGGGATCCATAATGTTATCGATCCAAAGGATTATTGATCTAAACTATTAGAGATCCAAATTATCATTGATCCAAACTATCATGGTCCAAAATATTATCGATCCAAGCGATTATTGATCCAAACTATCATTGATCCAAACTATCATAGATCCAAACTATCATTGATCCAAATTATTATCGATCCAAACGATTATTGATCAAAAATAACATTGATCCAAACTATCAGGGATCCATAATGTTATCGATCCAAAATATTATCGATCCAAGGGATTATTTATCCAAACTATCATGGATCCAAAATATTATCGATCCAAGCGATTATTTATCCAAACTAGCATTGATCCAAACTATCATTGATCTAAACTATCATAGATCCAGACTATTATCAATCCTAACTATTATTGACCCAAACTATCATTGATCCAAACTATCATTCATCCAAACTATCATTGATCCAAACTATCATGGATCCAAAATATTATCGATCCAAACTATCATTGATCCAAACTATCATTGATCCAAACTATCATTGATCCAAATTATCATTGATCCAAACTATCATTGATCCAAATTATCATTGATTCTAACTAAACGATTATTGATCTAAACTATCAAGGATATAAACTATCATTAATCCAAACTATAATTAATCCAAACTATCATTAATCCAAACTTTAATTAATCCAAACTATCATTGATTCAAACTATCATTGATCCAAAGTATTATTGATCCAAATTATCATTGATCCAAAGTATTATTGATCTAAACTATCATTGATCCAAATTATTATCGATCCAAACGATTATTGATCAAAAATAACATTGATCCAAGCTATCAAGTATCCATAATGTTATCGATCCAAAGGGTTATTGATCCAAACTATTATTGATCCAAACTATCATTGATCCTATTTACCATTGATCCAAACTATCATGGATCTAGAATATTATCGATACAAACTATAATTGATCCAGACTATCATGGATCCAAAATATTATTGATCCAAACTATAAGAGATCGAAAATAACATTGATCCAAACTATCAAGGATCCTAACTATCATTGATCTAGACTATTATGGATCTAAAATATTATCGATCCAAACTATCAAAGATAATAAGTTACTCTTCTATTAATACAGATCTTTATATTTTTTTCAATTGTTTCCTTATGTTAAGGACAATGTATAAATAATTTTTATAAAAAATTTCACTCACCCAAATTTGTAGAAATCCTTTCAATTTTCCAGAAGTCTTTTAGACAAATCTGCAAGTAAAAAATAAAGATTTAATTAAAAAATTAAATGTATATTATTTTTGATTATAAATATAAAATAACAAACTTTGTTAAAAATTTGTTTCTTTGAAGTAGGTTGAAAAAATTATTATAAACAATAACATAACTATGGGTTTTAAACACTGGTAATTTTTATCAATGATAATTATTTTTATGAGTACTTAAATTTTAAATCTTAAATAATAACTTTGGCCAGAATTTTATTATGTCACATTATTTTATAACAGAAAATTTTGTATATATATATATATATACTTTTGAGAATTTATGTATATATGCTCTGATTATTTAGAAAGTTGTGTGTCTTTTGCTGTGAGGAGAGAAAATTTTAATGACAAACACTACTCGAGGAAGTTGCTGCGAGATAATTAACAAATCAACAGCACGAGTGTTAATAAAATTTTCTCTTATTTTTTTTTTTTTTTTTTTTTTTTTAATGAAAAATAATCATAATAAATAATAAATAAAAAAAAATTTCATTTTTAAAAATATATTTGTATTATTTATATTTGTAAATATATTTTAGAAGTAAAACATTTATTATTTAAGAATAAATAATTATTAAATAAAATTTATTAAATAAAAAATTGTTAAATAATTATTGTAACTATTATTGTTGGAAATACGTAGTATTTTTAAATTATGTATACGTAAAAGAGAAAATTTCTTTATATATATACTAATTTTTAATTAATGTTAATGAAGATGCATTGATGCACAGGTGTGCGTGACCTATAAAGGTCAACCACTCCAAAGCATTTGGCAATCTTCAACGTATATATAATACGTTTGAAGATTGCCAAATGTTGGCCCTGAACTTGAACCACACAGACCACAATATATATATATAAAAGCCGTGACTTTCGAGGCTTGAACTTCGTTTCGTTTCGATGGTTTCTGGGCCCGGATCAATGTCTTCGAAAGTTTTGTCAGGGTCGCTCTCGAAATTCTATTCGTTATGTCGAACAATAAAAAACAGTCCTTATATATTAGAATTATGTTTCATCATAAATAGTTCATTGACACTATCCTTTCTATAAAATCTAATATTCAATAACTGAACTTTTAAAAAAATTATAAAATTAAATTAAAATCATTTATTCAAACATATATAATTAATCCTCAATTCTTCAAAAAAAAGGGAAAATATTGTTTGAATGACTTTTCAGTAATTTTTCCGTTTGAAAAAAAGCAAAATTTTTAAACTAAAAGTTCTTTATCTCTTATACATTCATTTTTTCACCGCATCAAGTTAAGTAATCTCATGAGAATATATTAGTTGCATAATGTTATAAATATTTACGACGATATTTGTGTATAATAATTGTTTTCCGCTAATTCACGTAACATGAAACATAAGAATGAATATAAATATTTCGTCGAAAATATAAATTATTAATAATAATAATAATAATAATAATAATAATAATAACAATATTATTCATCGTGAAAAAAAATGATCTTTTTTTGTTTATGGTTTCTTTAAAATTAGTTTCGAATATAGCTGTCAGAAAATATCATCTTTAGATGACTGAGGGAGAAAAAGAGAGTAATTTTTTTTTAATACCAAAATAATATAACACATATACATATTAAAAGTATACAAGAACGAATTCATTCTTCTTTGCACGCAAAAGATATTAATGCAAAATTGTGTGCGGTTTAGCACATTTGCAAATGCTGTTGATGTATATTTACATCGAGTGAATATGCATCGTTAATAATCCTCTTCCTTCCTCAGTTTCACCGCGTCCAATATATGCGTCATACATGGGCACAATAGCCTCATTCACATTATAATAAATATAATATATTTCCAGTTTGTTTACATTTATTATTATATTATTTATTTTTATATATAATTTATGCAAAATAGATTTTTTAAAATAAAATATATTTAAAAATTTAAATTTTTTTTGCCATTGAAATTCTTTAAAAAAAATTATTTGAAATAACAATAAAAATAATAAAAAAAATTATTATTATTATTACAAATGATATGCTAAGTACATACATAATTGAACGCAGTAATTTGAAGGAATTCTTTAAGCGCAATTAACGATAATAATCAAACAATCGTGAAATCCATCATTTTCCATTATAATTATTGATCGTACGCGCAACACATAATATTGGTGAGAAACGTTCTATTTCTTTCAAGGAGAAGATTTATTGTATTCTTATACAATCAAGATGCTCCAAATCTATTATTATATTAATAATAAATATTCTCCAATGATTTCTCATTATCATAATAAATATATATATTGTATAAACTAAAATAAAGATCAACATTATTACTGATCCAAATTTTCAATGATTTAACATATTTGTCAATCCAAACTATTATTCATCCAAACTATCAGAGATCCTAAATACCATTGAGCCTAATTATTAGAGATACCAAAATTCCTGTGATCCAAAACTATCAAAGATCCAAACTGTCATTGTTCCAAACTACACTTGATCTAAACTATCATTGATCCAAACGATTATTGATTCAAATTATTGTAAATCCAAACTATCATTAATCCAAATTATTAAGAATTCAAACTATCATTGATCCAAATTGTTATTGATCCTAACTATCATTGATCCAAACTGCAATTGATCTAAACTATCATTGATCCTAACTATCATTGATTCAAACTATCATTGATCCAAACTGCAATTGATCTAAACTATCATTGATCCTAACTATCATTGATTCAAACTATCATTGATCCAAACTATAATCAATCCAAACTATCATTGATCCTAACTATAATCAATCCAAACTATCATTGATCCTAACTATCATTGATCCAAACTATCATTGATCCTAACTATCATTGATCCTAACTATCATTGATCCTAACTATCATTGATCCTAACTATCATTGATCCAAACTACCATTGATCCTAACTATTATCGATTCAAATGATTATTGAGCCTAACTATCATTGATCCAAACTATCATTGATCCGAACTATCATTGATCCAAACTGTCATTGATCCAAACTACCATTAATCCTAACTATTATCGATTCAAATGATTATTGATCCAAACTATCATTGATCCTAACTATAAATGATCCAAACGATGATTGATCCAAATTATCATTGAGCCAAATTTTTATTGATTCTAACTGTCATTGATCCTAACTATCAGTTATCCAAACTATCATTGATCGAAATTATTTAATTCGGAATTAACTTTTTCACAATGATTTTAATTGTAATTAAAAATATATTTTACCATAGACTTTAAAAGGTTGGAAATATTTGCTTATAATTCTATATATATAGAGAGACGAAAGAAAGCAAGAATAATTATATTTTCTCTGGGTAATTGTTTCATAGTAGATTACCCAAGTGGTAATACCAGGCGCACTTTCATTAGAGTATACACTGTACAAATAATGTTTCTTACAAAGTATACAAAAATGACTTCAGGACGATATCCTCCAATGATGACGTTCAAATGCGGCCTTTCTTGCTTGGCATTGGAGTAAATCTAGGAGATTTATGATGAAAAAAGAGGAGGGGGTGAAACCCTTCTTTTCCGTCTTTATATATATTTTTTTTCCTCCCTTCCCCCGCGCGCATTCAACAAACCACAAATGCGTAACTGCCGCAACAACACAAATGTAATGCACTTTCATAAAACTTTCAGCTTTCCACTGCAGTCACGATTATATCCATAGTATATGGAAAAGAAATTGCTTCTCCCACGGATTCTTATATTGCGCCCGCAGAAAATACTCGTATAATCCTCAACGATATTTCGCGCGAGACCTTGAACATTATATCCCATTATTTCACGTTTTCTGTATTTTTTTTTAATAAATAGATATATATATAACTTTTTAAAACTCGGTACTAAAAACAAAATAGCTTGGAAATTTTCTATATAAATTCGATATTTTACTTTTTGCTTTGTAAATTTCAATACACGTTTCGAATTGATAGTATATAAAAGTTTTCGAAAGTTATTAACGTTATTTTGTCAATTTATTAAAGTAAAAATATTTGTTGTAAAAAAATTTACAAATTTTACTTTAACGAGAATATTTTTTAGATTTTTGTTTTCAAATAAATTAAAAACTATTGTAAAATAGAAATATTATTTTTTTATCAATTGTTTATAATTAACAAAATATTTATGATAAATGATTCTTGTAATATATATTTATATGTATTCATTACGCAAACTGTGAATAATAATTTAATATATAAGAAAAGAAGTTTAAAATTTATGCAAGTCCTTACGTGCAACTATTAACGTAATTCGGTATCCGATTATAGAAGAAACGCTTTTGCCTATGTTGTGGAACGAAAGGCTTTCACATAACTTTCTGTGCGGAAGAAATATCGAGAGGCATTTGTATATAAGGATAAGTTTGTTCCGTATTATTATAGACGTTAAAAAAAAAAAAAATAATTTTCCTAGCTATTTAATAATCGTTACAACAAGAAAACAATTGTCTCATCAAGAACAGAAATTATATATACATGTTGTACATTTTATATATATTGACTTTCCATTAATAAGAGAGAAATCTTTATACACGTACAGGCAAAAAGAAAACAATAAAAATTACATACATTTGATTGGCACTAATGATCAATAGTTTCAAATGTATTACGAAAAATAATTAAATTCACAAACTACTTCTTCATCCAATTCATAATTAATCCAAACTATCATGGATTCAAACTATTATTATTATTAATCAAAACGATTATTGATTAAAAAAAACATTGATCCAAACTATCAAGGATCAATAATATTATCGATTTAAACTATCATAGATCTAAACTATTAGAGATCCTAACTATCATTAATCCAAACTATCATTGATCCAAATTATCATTGATCCAAACTATCATTGATCCAAATTATCATTATCCTAACTATAATCAATCCAAACTTTCATTGATCCAAATTATCATTATCCTAACTATAATCAATCCAAACTATCATTGA